GTTGAAAGGTATTTTAAGACAATTGACCCCTGTGACCTTGAATATAATTGAAGGTCATTCATTTGAACAAACTTGGTAGCCCTTCACTCAAGCATGCTACTGGCCAAATATCATCTCCCTGGGCAGTTTGGTTAAAGAGAAGAAGATGTTTAAAGTTTTTAACATATTTGACCCCTGTGACCTTGAAAATAGGTGAAGGTCATTAATTTTAACAAACTTTGTAGCCAGTTTGCTTCTGGCCAAATATCGACACCCTAGGCCTTTCGGTTATTAAGAAGAAGTCGTTAAAAGTAAAATATTGAGGACGGGCGGACGCCACGCCACGCCACGGCATGAGCTAAAAATGTAGAAGAAAATCTCCGGACAAAAAAATCAAATACTGAAATGAACAAAGGGCAATAACTTTTGGAAAAATTGTTGAATCAAAATTCTTTTGAGGGAGACACAACTTCATACAAGAGGCCCAATGGGCCTGCATCGCTCACCTGTTATTAATCTAACACTTGTAATCTTAAAATTTCATAAGAACCTATGAAAAGATTTTAAAATATGACACCTCTGACCTTGATTGTCGAACAAGGACATTAGGTTGAAAGTGGATTAAGGTCATTCATTTGAACTAACATGCATGGTAGTCCTTCATCCCAGCATGCTACAGGCCCAATATCATCTTCCTAGGCCTTTTGGTTACCGAAAAGAAGTTGTTTAAAGCAGGTGAGCTAATGATTATAATGTATACCAAGTTTCAAAGAGATCGGTTGAAAATTGTAGAAGATTGCCGGACAAACAAAAGTTTACGCCGGACAGACGGACAACGCCATACCATAACACTCCCGTCAAATTTGACGGGCGTATAAAAACATTATCTGAAGGCTGTAACAAAATTTTCATGAACTCAATTCAAAACTGTCATCATATTGTTAGCTCACCTGGTCCGGAGGACCAAGTTGAGCTTATGCCATACCGTGGCGTCCTTCCGTCCATCGTACGTCCGTACGTCAACAATTTCTTTAAACGACTTCTTCTTAACCACTGATTGGAATTCAACTAAATTTGACTGGAAGCATCTCTAGGTGGTGCGAATTCAAAATTGTACAAATGGTGGGGCGGGGACAATTTGGCTATATTGCTACAAACGACTTCTTCTGTAGAACTATGCACTGGATATCAATCATATTTGATCAAAAGCATTCATGGGAGGCAGGTATTCAAAATTGTACAAATGGTGTGGCTGACACCCCAGGGAGCTGAGGGGCTATTGGCTATACTGCTTTAAGCGATTTCTTCTCTGGAACTAAGAGATGGATATCAACCATATTTGACTGGAAGCATCCCTAGGTGGTGGAAATTCAAAATTGTACAAATGGTGGGGCTGAGGGCGTGACCAAAAGGGGCAATTTGGCTATATTGCTATAAATGACTTCTTCTGTAGAACTATGTCATGGATATCGATCATATTTGCTCGGAAGCATTCATGGGAGGCAGGGATTCAAAATTGTACAAATGGTGGGGCTGACTCCCCGGGCTAAGGGGTGGGGCCAAAAAAAGTGTATTACTTGATGTGGTTGAGATCCCCACCATATAACTATATATACAATTGCTGAGTATAATGAGAAGAATGCATATTTGCTTCCAGGATGGCTCTAGGGTCTGACCCAACCCTTGGAGACATAGTCCCCGGGCCATAACTTTAAAACGGTTGAGATCCCCTCCCCAAAACTATATATACAAATGCTGGGCATAAAGAGACGAATGCAGTCATGATATAAGAACAGACCCTGGGGTCTGACCGAACCCCTAGGGACCTAGTTTCTTAGTCACAGCTTGGAAACAATTGAGATCCCCACCCTATAACCATATATGCAATTGCTGAGTATAAAGAGATGAGTGCACATATGCTTCCAGGATGGCCTTGGGGACTGCCCCACCCTTGGAGACTTAACCCCTGGGTCATAACTTTGAAATGGTTAAGATCCCCACCCCAAAACTATATATACAATTGTTGGGCATAGAGTGACAAATGCAGTCATGATATTAGAATTGACCCAAGGGTCGACCCTTGCAGACTTAACCTCTGGGTCATAACGTTTGAAACGGTTGAAATCCCCACCCCAAAACTATATATGCAAACGCTGGGCATAAAGAGACAAATGCAGTCATGATATTAGAATAGACCCCGAGGTCTAGCCACAACCCTAGGGACCTATAGTTTCTGAGTCACAGATTGGAAACAGTTTAGATCCCCACCCCATAACCATACATAAAATTGCTGGGCATGAAAAATCTAATACAGATATGCTACAAGGATTTGCCTTGAGGTCTAGCATATTCCCTTGGATCTCATTTGGAGAATATTTTGCCGTGATTGCTTAGATATCCAGGTGAACGATACAGGGCCTCTGGGCCTCTTGTTATAAATCTTAAACAAGAAAAGCCAAAGTGCACCTTAATTAGATCAAGTAACAGTATGAAAGACTGTTAAATGAATTCAAACAAAAAGGCAAAAATATCAGATATGCAATACCTGAGAGTTTTGTACTTCAGCTGACCACATTCCTGTCCAAAGATCTGTGCAACACTGTACTTCATGACATGCTCCAGGTATCCACCTGATCCTCCTCCATCATGATTGATCAAGTCATGTGGGGACATTCCAGGTACACTTATTAAGGTAAAAAAGACATGGTTAGGAACAATCTTCAAAAAGACAAGTCCTATAAAACCAACTCTTTTGAATGCAAATTTAAATTTCAACTGACTTGGCATATTTTGATTACATCATGCTTGCAGAGTGACCCTCTATAGGAAGGAGACTTTCTAATCTTTACCATAATATTTTACTTGAAATCAGCAGAACTCGAATTAATTGTTTTGTGCTCACATTACATAGAACAGTTTAAATGTTGACATTGTACACTTGCGTTAAATTATTTCTACTCCTAATAAACAATGGACCTTATTTTATGAACTTATTTCTGAGGAATTCAATTCATATTTCATTAATCATGTACTGGTATGTCTTGTGTATAAATTATTGTTTGCATAATTGAGTTTGCAATGGATGTTTAACACAAATTGATAAATTGAGTGTTGCAAACAATCAATAGACCCACACCTTCAGAAAAATGTAAAGGTATTTATAAAGTATAATACTCACATCATATCCAGATCAAGACTTTCCACCTCAGCCAGGTTTAAGCCTTCTTTGATAAGCATTTGATCTACTTCACCTAACATAAACAAAACAAAATATCCAAAGTGTTCAGTAAATATCTCAAAGTTCAGGTTTCAGGGTGGTGCATTGAAGGTCACGATGCTATTTTTGTAAATAGAAATATTTTGCTATCACACCAGGTGCTTCATTTGAGTTGGATGAAACTCAATACACTCTAGGCTGGTAGGGACATTTATATGTTAATCCTACTGTCTTTAAGAGCTTGTTTTATTCATGTGTAAGAATAGCTTCTGCTTAACTCAAGAGGTTTTCAAACCTAAATGATAAGAACCTGCAGTGATATAACAGGGTATTTTCGAAATCGACCTTGGTATAAATTGGGAATAATTATATCCATGTAGCTCATAAATTATCAAAAAAGGATACATATATAACTTAAATATTAGAAAACATCAGTAAGACATGAATACCACATTTATACTCAAGAAGTTGGTTAACTGGTGACAATAAAAACAGTGAACTTGGAACTTACTTCTGGGGCCCGTAAAATATGATCTCTTCCAAGGTTTCACATATCTGACATTTGTTTAAACTTGGGGGGGGGGGGGTTAGATAATTGGAAAATACAAATTTGGGGAAAAGGGGAGACCTATTTTCAACTGAGACCTCAACAGACCTTAATCAGGGGCAATAAATCCCTCAGGGAGTAAGTAATGTCTTCAACACACACCTGTTGTGATGACACAATCCACATCTCTGGTGCTGTACAGGTCGTCGTAGAAATCAGATCGGGACGCCTCCAGCTTCTTGTCATAACATGGCATGATTGTAACATGGAAGATAGCATTGGGCTTGACACCCAACTGACCAGCAAGGTAGTCCTTGACCAGTGACCCCATGACTTGCTGGGGGGACTTTGTTGTACTGATGTAGGGCAGAATGTAGGTCCCATGTGTCTTTTCAGCGTAACATATCCAACCTGAGGAAGATAAGCCAGGTAACCAGTAAATAATCCAGTACTAAAATACTAATGGTTTGATGGGCCAGTATAGCTCGACTGTTACATTATGCTATCAGCAAACGCATCTCACATCTGACCATTAAAGCAGGTCAAGGTCAAATTCGTTCAAACAAACAAAGTATGATTCTACACTTAGTGGATCTTTGTAAGAAGATTTCAATTCGTTTTACTTTTGGCACATTTATTGTTTGTCTAAGGTCATTTATCCATGCATGTTACTGGCCAAATACCATCACCCCTGGCCTGTTATTCAAAAGAAGTCATACTAAGAAGAAAAAATGATGCCAGAGGGACAACGAATGCTGTGCCATCACGTAAATAAGAACCTTTAAATAACAAGAGGCCCAATGGGCCTGCATCGTTCACCTGGTATTAATCTCACACTTGTAATCTTAAAAGTGGACTAAAATACAGCTACAGGCAGAATATCATTGTTTGATTCACAAGAACCTATTAAAAGATTTAAACATGAAGCCTGTGTCCTTGAATGTCGAACAAGGACATTAGGTTGAAAGTGGGTCAAGGTCATTCATTTGAACAAACTTGGTAGCCCTTACCCCAGCATACTACAGGCCCAATATCAGTATCTTTGGCCTTTTGGTTATTGAGAAGAAGTTGTTTGAAGATTTTAAGACATTTGACCCCTGTGACCTTCAAAGTAGGTCAAGGTCATTCATTTGAACAAACTTGGTAACCTTCATGACAGCATGCTACTGGCCAAATAGCATCATCCTAGAGTTTTCGGTTATCGAGAAGAAGTTGTTTAAAGGTTTTTTTGAGACAATTGACCCCTGTGACCTGAAAATAGATGAAGGTCATTCATTTGAACAAACTTGGTAGCCCTTTATCCCAGCATGCTACTGGCCAAATATCATCATCAAAGGCCTTTTGGTTATTGAGAAGAAGTTGTTTCAAGATTTTTTAAGACAATTGACCCCTGTGACCTTGAAAATAGGTGAAGGTCAATTATTTTAATAAACTTGGTAGCCCTTCATCCCAGTTTGCTTCTAGCCAAATATCATCATCCTGCGACTTTTGGTTATTGAGAAGAAGTTGTTTCAAGATTTTTTAAGACAATTGACCCCTGTGACCTTGAAAATAGATGAAGGTCATTCATTTGAACAAACTTTGTAGCCCTTTATACCAGCATGCTACTGGCCAAATATCATCATCCTGCGACTTTTGGTTATTCAGAAGAAGTTGCTTAAAGTTTTTAACATATTTGAACCCTGTGACCTTGAAAAAAGGTGAAGGTCATATATTTTAACAAACTTGGTAGCCCTTCATCCCAGTTTGCTTCTGGCCAAATATCATCATCATAGGCCTTTTAGTTATTGAGAAGAAGTTGTGTGAAATAAAATATTGACGCCGGACGGATGGACGAACGACGGTCGCCGCACCATGGCATAAGCTCACCTGGCCCTTTGGGGCCCTTTGGGCCAGGTGAGCTAAAAACACACAAGATTATCTGTTAACTATGATGAGAAAAATGTTTTTCTCCAATAGTTTTTGGATTCTTCTTTGTCAGAATCTATTGTAAATAGTTACAAAACCCATAGAAGAGCTACATAAAAAAGAAGAAAGTGTGATGTGGTTTACATTTATATATAATTTGGTTTATTTTTTTATTGTATAACTTTATAATTACATTATATTGATAAGGAACTGGAATTAGAAATAATACTCATTGCAATGAATTCTTAAAATTCAATGAAACAACTACAACTTGAATTGTCAATACCAATAGTTAACAGTTAATTTATGAATTAATTCTAGTGATTAATGTTTTTATTTAAAATCTTGAGTAAATTCTGACAGACAATCAACCAAACCTCAACTTCATTTACCTGGACAAGCTGATGCCAACATGGGTAAGGCTGTTTTATCTGTCTCTGAATCTTTATACCGCTGGACAAACTCTCTACAGCTCTCCAACAGACTGAAGTTGCGGGAAAATGTGGTATCAAACACATAGTGGACACCTGAAGACAAAATATAAAATTGATTATTAAAGCTTTAAGTATCCATGTTGATGTTAATAAAGACAAGAGGCCCAAGGGCCTTAGCGGTCACCTGAATTATATCATAGGTACTGGTAGCTTTATTTTATTGTTTAAATGTGATGTGGAAATCAGCATGTAAACTAAGTGAAATACAATACTTGTCATGTCATCAAAGGATAAGAATTTTAAAATATTTGTAAATGTTCCCTTTGGGGCCCCGCTCTAACCCCTGGGGAGTGGGCAGGAATTCCAAGTTTACAATGTGATACCGTCATCCACCAATGATGATTCTGACCAAGTAAAAATAATTTCCAACAGAAAATTGTCAAAATATACCCAAAAGTGTTGTTTCCCTATATAAACTATAGTAAACTTTACCCCCTCCCCAAGGGAGAACGGATAGCTCGGGGGTCCTGAAATTTACAATTTAAATACAGCCCCTGATGATCTTTCCATCCATGCAGAGAAAATGACTATAATACCTCTGAGTCTGGGGAAGAAGATTTTTGAAATATTGGTTAATTTTCCCTTTTGGGCCCCGCCCTGGTCCCTAGGGTTGGGGTAGGGATCCCAATTTTACAATTTGGTAGCCTCATCTACCAAGGATGATTCTGACCAAGTTTGAAAAAATTCCATCCACTGGTTCTTGAGAAGAAGTTGATAATGTAAAAAGTTTACGCACGACGACGGACGGAAAGTGATTGGAATAGGTCACTTGAGCAAAGCTCAGGTGACCTAACAAGGAAAAGTACCACATCCCGATCTGCCATAAACTGGCAATAAAAGACATGGTTTGCATAGCAACATTGTATATAAATTGTTGATCTCCTCAGTTTTGATTTAAATTCATATTAGCAATTCCCCATATAGGTTTAAGCAGAATTCCAAATTTTTTCATAGACCCAGGTATCAAATCTAGATTATGGCTTGGTGTCTTGCATCAGTCATACATTGCCTGATAAACAGATCCTTACGCCTGCACATGTTCATTGTATACACCAACTAATAATACAATAATCTAACTAGAATAATAATTTTGAAGCATGTAAACATGTATGTGGCAAGCAAGATTTTAATTTACTATTAACAAAATGGAATTGTTGTACACACTGGTATTTTCCTTTTCCATGTGTGTACTGTTGTTTACCAGACACTATATATTATGGTTATGTTAATCAGCTTTAAGAAACTAAATGAAAAGAGTGTACCTAATTTTTTTAAGAACCATGTGAGTTTGTGTGCAGCATCTAAGACAGACAGGTTGTACTTGGCTGATAAGGATGCCCTGGACTGTGGAGAAACCGATACCACGACCACCTTCTGTCCATTCTCATCACCAGTCTACAACAAGTCAACATACATTCATCACTTGTTTCATTGCAGTAGGAGACAAGGTATTGTCATGGATGAAAATGTTCAGCTACCTTCAAGCAGAGGGAAATGGAGTGAGAGAAAAGTTTCATGGATGAAATTGTTCAGCTATCTTCAAACATAGAGAAATGGAGTGAGAGAAGAGTTTCGCGGATGAAATTGTTCAGCTATTTTCAAGGGTTCCTCTCCCCTTCTTTCAACCAATCCCCCGATAACAACCGAAAATCTTGGGTTTGTGCCTGTACTGTAATAAGGGGTAGACAAAAAAATCCTCATTTCATAGTCTGACATCAATTCTCCTTGCTCCTGAATTCTTCAAATAAGCAAATGTTTTCTTAAGTGTTTTATGATCAGAACCTAAAAGTCTGGGGTATACCTTACCTCCTGTAAGCGTAGGTTTTCCTTGAGGACCTTGTACAACTCCTCCTGGCTCTGCTGTGTGATAAGGACACTCTCTGCAGATGTGATACATCCACTACAGGCCAGACAGTCATTCAGTGTGATCTTGGCCTTCTCCAGCTTCCTCTCCGTACCACTCTGTCATTAACAGGTAATGAAAATAACTGGGGTTTAATGTTTAGATACAAAAAAAACACTCAAAAACTTTAATGTGATAAACTAATATGTAATTTTAGTACATGAACACAAACATCCTCAACACTTCAGGGGTTATGCTCACTGACGCTCTCTGTTGATAATACTGAACTTATGATTACCTCCATTACTTCTATATAACTTCCATCATCTTCTATCTTGATTTTACCAACTTTGCCTGGACGTCTGTCTATCTTCACGGGTTTGACACATTCCTAAGATGAAAAATTCCAGCATTAGAGTAAGACTGATCAATGCACTGTTTTAGATAGAGTTTAGATTAAATTGAGGCCCATTTGCACAGAAAGCATTATTGACTTGGAACATGTAATACAATGTAAATGCAATATTACTGCATATTTATAAAAAAAAATGTGATAAAAACATTATATATACAATTCTATGGGTATCTATAATTAAACAAGCAACATGGTATTATTAGATAAGAACTAAGCTATGCTTATACATATAGCTGTTGGAATCACAAAAATCAATTAGAGTACCGGATACAAAATGGCTTTAATTTGAAAACATAATGAACTCTGAATTTAATGTTCTTCATGAGTAGTTATGATTTACAATGACCAAGTGAAATTGAAAATTAAATAATATACTTATACAATGCATTATAAAATGTACATATATACACCAGCTAAATCAAACAGATGCTGAGTCATATACCTGGGAAGGTGTGATAAAGTCATTCAGATCCGTTAGCTGTAGGGCTCCGCTAAAATTGGATGCCATCTTTAAGTTAGGATTATATATCTCTTAATGTTGCTGATGATTTTCAGACAGATGCAACCTGCAAATAACAACATACAATGTGCTCTACAGACATGCAGTGCCATCTTGACTTCTAAAAATGAGTTTTCATTCTAAGCTGCTTAATACTTCCCTCACAACACCACTTTCGTGATAAACCAATGCAAAGTACTAGTGGACTAAGGTACACTTGAAGCCAACAAACTACATGTCTGAGCAGAAATTTATAGACGGAGGCTGGTTGCTCTTTGTACTACAAAACTATCTTTATGAATTAGTACAAGGGAAACAAGCACCCACTAGGATGATAGTTTATAATAGCATCATGGTTGTAGCATTACATTACATTTGCATGTGAAAACAAACTAATCACTGCAGTTATAGGCTGTTCATATATTATCATCAATAAGCCCAAGGTTCATCTGGCCCTGACACCAGACATATATCCGTCAAACTATCTAAGTCTGGTGTCAGGGCCAGAGAAAACTCTGGCTAATTAATTTGCTGCAATAACTCAATGTATTGTCATATATTTCTTATTTAAGAGACAGTCTAATGTAAGCATTTATATAAGCAATATGAGAAAATTACAAGTGAAATAATAACACCATCTTGTGTTCTCAACCGATTTATTCCCAGAATAAGTAAACCGGCCATCTTTATTTTCAAAAGCATTCGCTCAAAAAATTGAGTCATTGTAAAATATAGGATTAAGAGTTGTGATTTCATCATGACATGACATCGAATTTTTAATGCGTTATTTTTAATTTCAAACACTAACATCAGCTGAAAATTACGTACATATTATTGTAAAAAATTGCAATGTTGAAAGAGCTCTGACGACGCAATATATATAAAAAAAATCTCTCGTCGTCAGAAAGCTACGTTATCGCAGCGAACAGGACACATGACCTTTACCTGATTACATTACATAACAGACACTGGCTATTGTGATGAAAATATATTACTAAAACCAAATCAGACTCATCTGCTTTTTAATAGAAACAAACAGAAACATAACAATTATATTTATATAAACACGAGTATTACCTGAAGCCCTCCCATGACCGGAAACAGGATATACAAGGGAAATAACTCTGTGCGACTAAACAGTTTAAGGTTGCTTGAACGTTGAATTTTCATCGTCTGCTCGTTAACAATTAAGGATCCCCGTGACGCTGTCAGAAAATGTTACTTATGTATTGGGGCCTGTTGGTGTATGCGTTTTTAAATGTAACATTTTTGGGTATGAATCCTAACGGATCTACAAAAGTTTATGCACGGGTAATATATATATATCAATAGACAGACGACCTAGTACCTGTGGTTTATGCATGCCTTGCAAGGCTTGGTCTACCAGTATAGGCTCGCCTGAAAGCTATGGAACGCCAAATTAACTTATATTCAATTACAGGCGCGTAGCTGCCTATACGCGAGTACGCAGTTGAATCCACATGATTCTGACAAANAACTGTCCTATCTTCAAATTATTGAAGATCGGTACAATTAATTGAAGATAGGTTCTGTATAATTGAAGATAGGTTCTGTGCAATTGAAGATATGTACAATAAATTTAAGAGAGGTTCAATTCAATTGTACCTATCTTTAAATAATTAAATATATGTATTGAATTGTTCCTATCTCCAATTGAATTGAACCTAAGCACAAATACAACACATCCTAAATTGAATTGAATATATCTTCAATTGAATTGCACCTTTCTTCAATTGAATTGTACCTATCTTCAATTATTTGAAGGTATGTGCAATTATTTGAAAAAGCAGCATCTGATTACTGGGTCAGACCTTATTTCATAAACGAACAAATCTTGTCCAACCGGTTCAACCGTTTGGATCGCGATAAACGAAAACGGCATTGGAACCTTTTTCGTATCATGACAATAACTTTGATAAATGATTTTTGAATAGAAGACCATACATTGTGGGATGTAACAATATATGGCAAAATAGGACAACTTCTCTGAGTGTATGATACAACGAGGTCAGAATTCCAACCATATCTAGCGTATAATGCCTAGACCTCATATCACAATGCTGATGTTCTAACCAACTTAACTTCCTGCTCATTGCAAGTAAAGTGAAAAGTGCTATGTTTATTTTTCAGTATCAAACATAAGTAGTTGCGGTAAAGTAACTTCAGCTGGACAACATTCACCAATTCCACTCTTTCGATTTATTCGATTATGACGCATTCGGGAACGTAATCGGTAGTTCCCCATTATAAATTCCACGCACATGAATTAAGTTAAGTAAGTTAAGTTTATTCTGGAACAGGATTTGAACAAGATCAGGTGTATCGTCAGACTCTAAGCTGACACCCCGACAGTTAATAAGTTCATTATTATCAATTTCATTGTTATAATAGCATTCTGGTTTTCCCCAGTGCTTATCCAGTCGGGCTTCAAACGTTTTTAGTGTTGGTGATGTGACGACGTGGTTTGGCAGTGAGTTCCAATGGTTGACTACTCTTTCTTCAAAGGCATACTTTCTTAAGCTTAATTTACACACTCCTTTTCCAAGTGGAAGGCTATGACTTCTTGTTCGTTTGTTATCGTTTATATTTTAAAACCCTTCCGTTACAGAAGTGTCATAGCATCCGCGTGACAGTTTGTAAACTTGTACCATATCCCCTCGTAATCTTCTGTGTTTTAACGTTGGTAATTTTAGTACCTTTAATCTGGCTTGATAACTTAGTTCTTTCATTCCTGGTATCTGTTTTGTTGCTCTCCTCTGCACATTTTCAATTTCGTTAATGTCCTTTTGAAGGTATGGATTCCAAATGCAAGCTCCGTATTCCAGATGTGGTCTCACGAGCGCTTTATACAAGAGACAAAAAGTTGTTGCATCTAAATATGTATATGTTCTTCTTATTGTCCCCATTATCCTATTTGCCTTGTTGACCGATTCATGTTTATGATCAGTAAATTTAAGTTTGTTGTCTGTAATAACTCCGAGATCCTTTACTTTGTTAATGTTTTCTAGTATCACATTGATTCTCTCTTCATCGGTGTCTTTATACAAGTATAGCGGCGCGGTATTGATATTTTTTCCTAGGGTGAGTACTTTGCATTTGTCCGGATGGAATTCCAGTAGCCATGTATCTGACCATTTTTGTTGCTGGTCCAGGTCTTCCTGTAGGTTGATATTTTCGCTGTGATTATACATTTTAGTGTCATCCGCGAATAAAAATGTTGATGATTTTATCAGTTCTGGTAGGACATTGATGTATATCACGAACAATGATGGTCCGAGGACACTGCCCTGAGGGATTCCACTGGTTACCTCCATCCATTTTGATGCTTCGCCATTTACTGATACCCTTTGTTTCCTATTTGATATAAAACATTTCACCCAATTTATAATTTCAGGTGATAGTCCGTATGAATTTAGTTCAACTATTAGGCGCTTATGTGGTACAGTATCAAATGCCTTCATGAAATCTAGATACACAGTTTGGATTGATCCTCCTTGGTCGAGTATTTCCGTCCAGTTATCAATGACCTTTAGTAGTTGTAGTACCGTCGATCTTGCTTTGACAAACCCGTATTGGTGCTTATTTAATAAATCGTTTTTCTCCAAGTGGTCCATTATTCTTGTTCTTATAATTTTCTCCATGATTTTACATATTATACTGGTGAGACTTACTGGTCTATAGTTCCCTGGCGTTTTCTTATCCCCCTTTTTGTGAATTGCCGTTATTTGCCCCTCCTTCCAGCTGACCGGAAGTTCTCCATTTCCAAGTGACTTGTTGAAAATTTCACATAAAGGTGTTTTAATTATTTCCGCTGATTCCTTTAAAACTTTAGGGTGAATGTTGTCTGGTCCCGGCGATTTTGACGGATTTAAGGTTTTCAGTTCATTTAGCACTTCCTTCTCTGTTATTTTAGTATCTCTAAATGGACTTCGTATGGTGTAATTCTTTTGAACAGGTATATCATTTTGCGGTTCGACTGTAAATACGCTTGAGAAGAAATCCGCTAATACGTTTGCTTTTTCCAGGTCAGTCTGGGCTATTTCGGTTGTTTCTCCTTTCTTAACATGTAGTTCCGATATTCCGGTTTTTGTTTTAGTTTTGGAGCCCGCGTAATTCCAAAATTTTTTGGGGTTGGTCTTTACTTCCATCGCGATATCCTTTTCAATATTCCGTTTGCATTTTCTTACTAATGATTTTACTTTGTTCCTGGCTCTGACTTATTCATTGTATTTTTCTCTTTCTCGTGTTTCAATGTATCTTTGCCATCTTCGATACATATTACATAATGATACTAATGATATCAAAAAAAATGTGCAATGTAATATACATAAAATAGACAGTTGATTTCCATTAAATTTTGATTTAAGTTCATATTAAAAGTTCGGCTCCGTAATTATAAACCAGGTCTTTGTTTTCCCAAAACTTGTCAAGTCTATTTTCAAAAAAGTTTGTGTTTGGAGCAGGTATCACAGATTCTGGTAGATCGTTCCATATGCGTGCTATTCTCACAGTGAAAGAGCTCTTGATGTTGAGTTTGCCCTTGATGGCCACGTCTGACCATAATTTTACAGAAGTACAGCATTCCTTGTCATATACGCCACTGACCACGCATACGCCGGCATGTACATATAGTATTTTTTTTGTAGTCCAGGTAGGCATCTGGTGGCTCGGCGTTGAACATTTTCAATTAAATCAAAATGTTTGTATTTAATCAAGTTGTGACAGGCCTAGACATCTGTACAAAGGTATAAATAATTTAATGTTTATAAAATGAAAGGTTCTTCTTAGAATGGCAAACATTGAGTTGGCTTTTCCCTTTTTCACCTATGTGATCTTCAAAATTGAAGTCCTTTTATCATTACTCCAACATCTTTTTCACTCGTTGTAGTTAGAAGTTCTTTATCATTAAATTTAAATTTGACATGACAACTCTCTAGCGTTCCCGCGAACTTTCCGATGTGCATGAGTGTGCACTTATCTGCGACTGCATTTTCATAAGCCAATCCTCACTCCACTTGCACATGTTATCCAAGTCTCGTTGCGCAATATTTTAATCTTCATCCTTGGTTATTAATTTGAAAACTTTAATATCGTCTGCAGAGAGATACATATCAGAATCCACCAAGCTTTGCAACTCATTAAAAAAAAAGACATAACAAAAGGCATGGACCCAAGACAGAACCTTGTGGTTTCACGGAAGTAACCATTGTCCACTCTGAAACCTCTTCATTCAGTTACCTTCTGTTATCGACCCGAGAGAAAGTTTGAAATCCATAATACTGTTTGATGTGAAAAGTTGTATGCGCGTGGCTTACTGATCTCGAGACGCAAATGAGGAACCGTTTCAAAGGCTTTCTGGTATTTTCAAAGTAGCCTCGTATATTGTAATCATTTGGGGATGTTATTTTTACCGAAAGTAGATCTAAACCCCTAAAACATGTAAAATTGCTCTGAACACATTAGTTTATGTCCAAACTTAGCTGTAACAGATGCCCATGTCCCTGTGGCCTCGAACTGTATCCGCACAATCAGATATCATAGCCCTGAGAACATCTTACAACAATTGGAATAAGTTTTAAAAAAAGGCGGGGGGGGGGGGGGCCCAATATGGCCCCTCTTTTGCTTTAAATGTTGTTTTCGTGAGGTGTAGACCTATACCTTATCACAACAAAAACACCAATCAAAATTCAAATGAGCACTTGGTTCGTTTTTCGTAGGAGCATACAACTGAAATTCTCAAAAAGTCAGAGTTTTTCCCTCAAAAGACGAATGTTGTCAATCTAATAATGCACTGAAGGCTCATTTTTGATGCAACCAAAACTAGGGATTATATGCTACAGTATACATGTAAAGAGCTCTTACAGACAAACCAACAGCCGGCGCCATCTCAAGCAATGATATTTTTCAGACAATTTTTTTCATCTTAGCATAAAAGTATCTTATAACTCTTGTAAACCATAATTATTTTAATTATAGATGGACTAGGTCGTGAACTACCAGTGACAAAAATATCAATCCAAAATATGTGGTGGGAAAAAGGAAGGAAGAGAAAAAATGATGCGAGGCTTTGAGTTTGTTTTCAAACTGGTGATTCTAGATTCACA